ACAGCGAGAGAGGGAACACAAGCAGGGGGAGTGGGAGAGGGAGAAGCAGACTTCCCGCCGAGCAGGGAGCCCAGTGTGGGTCTCGATCCCAGGACCCCGGGATCACCACCTGAGCCGAAGGCAGATGCTTAACGACTGAGCCACCCAGGTGCCCCAATTTCTGCTGTTTTAAGCTATCCAATTTGTGGTACTTTGTTATGGCAACCCTAGGAAGCTAATATAGAAAAGAAATGTGGAGTTTTTAATAGTTAAAAATTCTTATAGAATTAAAAATTATTAAATATGCTCTGATCCTACAATGAATTAAGTGAATAAAAGTTAAATCAAAAATTTTAAAACCAGGGAGGTCCACCGTTACTGCTTAAAAAAGTTCCCATCTACAGATTGGCTAGCACAGCAATTTGCTGATAACTTGGTTGTTTCTACAACACAGTGCACAATCAAAATAAGCAACAGCACAGAGATAGTAAGAACATTCATACTGTGTCATATCATGGTGCCGATAGAAGCTAAATTCAAGACTTTATTGTCAAGGGGCACCGGTATCAAGCTACATTTCCATGTGGATTTTGGCCAACAATCATAAATAACAGAGAACTTGCTCATAAACAATTCCAAAAGGCAGTGTGTCAGGCAGATGGTATTTTGGGGGTGGGGTTGGGGAGAGTTTAACGTGGCAAAGCAGAATTGTGCTTTACGCATGCTGGCCATTCTGAACTTGTCATTGACTTCAGCACCCCTGGGGGGTTATGGTTTTACTCAGCTCCCAACGGAGTCTAAAGTTGCAATGCTTTAAACTTCTCATGCTAAAGAAATCAACCTTTTCATGTCATTAGAGTTCTGAAGGAGAAAATCTGCTACATTTGGGGCACAGAACATCAGACCTCATGGATACAAGGCCAAGGTTTTCATGTTTTAGCTCTCCCGGAGGGTGCCAGGGTGCTGCGTCCTCTAGGGGGACCCTGTGAGTATGGTACAAACTTCACAGAGGAGGTGTGCGACTCCTAAGGGAATTCCGCCTTGTCACAGAATTCTGCACTGATTTTAGAAAGTATTGATGTTGGGGGAGAAGCAAGATGGCGGAGGAGTAGGAGACCTGGATTTCGTCT